AGGCCTTCAGGATCTTCTTGGCATATATCTGGAAAAAGGACACCGCTAGAGATAAGGCAAAAAAGAGATATGAAAACAATGGACAAGATAACGATCACAATAGTATAAAGACTAGCGGTGCCATCCTGGAGGTGAAGAAAGAGGACAAGAGAACAGCTACGATGAGAACCTAGATATAGGATCTCTGAGTGGGGTGGCGCAGTGAACAATTCCCACAGAAATGTGTACAGAGTACTGTACACATTTTATGGTGTAGAGTATATAGTGTGTACAACTCACACGGCAATGTGTACAGTGTATAACTCACACAGTATTGTTTACAATGTACAATTCACACAGTATTGTGTACAGTAAACTTGTGTATAATGTACAAAACACATTGTAATGTGTACACTGTACAGTTTACATTTCACACGGTAATCTATACACTGTACAATGTGCAATAAACACTGTGATGTGTTCATGAAGTTGTGTAAGGTGTATTGTGTACGTAAAGTTGTGTAAGGCATGTATTGTGTAAATGAAGTTGTGTAAGGTGTGTTGTGTACGTAAAGTTGTGTAAGGTGTATTGTGTGAATAATTAAACTATACTATGTCCTTTCTCCATCTCAGTTTAGTTTTATTTATAATTTTATTTACAGAACAAATTTTAGTAAATTATACCCATACAAATGAGGAATAAGAATACGACTGTTGGAATCAAATAATTATTTCAAAGAACATTAAAACACAGTAACAGGGTATGCAAAACCATTTCATTTCATACATTGATTTCAAAGATACTGGTAAAATTTTAATTGCTACTTAAAAATATTGTTTAAATGTCGTCTTCCTATTCCCCTGTGTTTTGGGTGTCACTATACAAAACCTGTATTTCTTGTAATGGGATAAAAGCTTCGCCAAGAAACATTCCTTGTCCCATCATTCCTCTGTCTTTTACTAAACAAACAATATTAGGAGAAACAAAACTTTTGGCTTGTATACCGTTCGGATGTGAGTGGGAATGCCAGGCGCGTCTGAGCCACACAAATTTGTCTTCCAAGCCACGTTTAATCATATCTGTTTTCCGACCGAAATGACCGTCAATTTTTCCCTTTTTTCATACAAAATATCAAGTTTTTCCGACAATTCATTTTCTTTACAAATATAACGGCGCTTCTGAAAATCCGGTCATATCATGACTACAAAGCAAAATTAAGAAAACAAAACTTTTTCTTATGAAAATTCGCTTTACCAGCCGTCTGTATGATAAATTGTGTCAATATACATATATAAATATTAAGACTTTTTTTATATAAAATAATGTAATATAAATGTAAAAATAATATATTGCATGCACATTGCACGTGTTCTATAAAATTTTGATTGGTTCCCGAATTTTCTGCAAACATGTAGGATATTTCTAGAATATTTTTTTTCATTATATATGAAAATAAAATTGAAATTACCTTTATATTTTGTTTCTGCTTTTTTAAAAAAGCTTAATTTATCTTGAAATAGCCATTGAATTGAGACAAGTACACAAAAGTTTCATAACATTATAACCTATAACACTATTATTTTCGCACGACGTGCTAAAAAATTATATTTTCTCTGTATCTAAAAAAGCTTGAACCTTCTCGATAAAGAGAACATTTTTGTCCAAAAACTTTAAAATACTGCGAACCAAAATAATAGTTTTATAAATAGTTAATAAAAATGAAATTAATATAATATTGTTGACTTTAAAAGTCACTATAATAAAATAAAAGAGATCTAAATGGATATTTCTAACATTTATTTAATAAAACGAAAGTTTTGAAATAGTCTCCCAAGTGGGGTTAAAATTGGTTGGTTAAAAATGAATAAAGAAACTATAAATTGACAAACATCAGTAGCAACTTCATGTGAGCTATGTAGAACTTCATGTTGGTAGTGCAGATCAACTAGAACTGTAACAACAGGTTTCTGCTCTCTCCAGGCTCTCGTAGGATATATAATCCCCAACAATATTTCCAGGTTCGATTAGTAAACTCTTTAGAGTTGAGATTTTCCTCTTGTGGAGGAGAGTTGGAGATTATCCTCTTGTGGAGGAGAGTTAGAACTCTTGGAACATTTTGATGGGCTGGATGTAAGCATCGTCTGCTGCTGCTTAAGTATCTATATTAACAACATGTAGGAGCCAGGGTAGCTCTCTGAGACTGAGTTGTGATCATCTCAAGTGTTTTCGGCTGACTGCCGGGGCTGGGATGTGTAGAGAAGGGTGAAAAAGGAATAAGAAGCGGGGGTTACATGTGGGCGAACCAAAGGAAATAGATTCACACGTCTTGAAAATAAACATCGGCATTTGAGTCGGTACAATCGTCTTCCTTATATTTCGAATTTGTGTTAACAAATATAGATATATAAAAATTTTAAAAAATGCAGTATAGATATGAAAATAAAAAATTGTCAATATAATATAAATGTACAAAAAATATAGTAATATTATAAAAAGATGCAATATAGATATGAAAATAAAAATTGTAAATGTAAAATTAATATAATGTAAATATTTTCCCACTGTAGCGAGCACATATTATTCCAGAAAAGCAATAAAGAAATAATCAAATAAGAAATTAATTACATTATATTACCCGGATAAAAGAAGAAACTATTTCTAATATAAACTAGCACTAATGACTAGGGGAAAAGTACTCAGGTACACATTTTTGTTGCACTAGTTGAAGGGCCCGGCGTTGCCGTGGAAAAAAAATTGTGAAAAAAAAATTTCAGCCCAGTTACCGCCCACCACCCGTTTTGCCGCCTAGACAATATATATATACGAATGTCTTGTTTTATTAAATCACTTCTTTATGCCGAGTCTATGAGCGCTTGATCCAATCAGGGGCCAGTCATGTGTTTGTTGTCTATATTCTTAACCAATAGTATGGCGGTAACAAGTATTTTTCTAACTATCTTATTATCTAATTAGAGTTATAAATCTTCCAATCGGCGCAATCAGTAAATGGAAATATTTACTTCTACTGGAACTGGAACTGATATCAAGGTACTAATGCAAGGAAAGTTAATTGCAGTAGCGTATACTCTGCGTACATATTGAATCCAGTCCTCTCTGGGCGGAATTTGTAAACAAGAATAGATGCATCAGTGTTCCTCTAGTATCCGAGGAGGATAAAATCATTTAATTTTGATAATTTTGAAAATTCTTATAATAGTTTCCTAAGACCAGAATATTTCATAGATTATTTTGTGAAAGTGGATTCCATGTCAGGCTTCGATATCTGTCTTGTGTTTACTTTTCCGCCCAAAGCCAGTACACTGCAGTACAAAAAATGCGCACATCTCTGAAATAACTTCCTTGCATTATAACCTTGAGTGATATAGATTAGTGAAAACGCATATTATGAAAGAAAATAATACCTGTTATCAAAATATAGGAATCTTGTATTCTCTGAGAAGCACGAGAAATAACTAAAAAATAAAATGTGAATTGATTGAAATTAAATAAAAAAATTTGTAAAATAAAATAGAATTTACCCAGGTCGAACTTCTCATCAAAAAGTGGGAAAAGAGTTCCTCGAATTGTTCGAGTTCGAAGTTTCGGACAATCGTTGAATCTTGAATCCGGGACAAGCCTAAACATTTAAATTAAAGTTTATATATAGCTATCATGGGATTCAAATTTAAACCATGTATTTTCAAGTCATCCTCCTTCAGTTGTACGTCTGCGCAGACCCTCTCAAGATATGAAAAAACTTTCAGAAATTTTTCTAAAACCAGTTTGTCTATCCCACAAAACAACATTCTATTTTAAATATGTGTTTCAATCAAAAGAAGAGGCCAGATAAGGATGGTCAGGAGGGGAAATGTCATATACAATTATTTAATAACTTAAACAAAAAATATGTAACACAAATTTTTCTTTAAATAATTTTCTGTTTAGGAACATATTTATCGAAAGAAATTATCGGTTAAAGCCATGGTAGAATTAATTATTTAATAAACATTGTTATTTTTAGTGTTTCTAAAGATTTTTTCGCAGATTTATTCAAATGTCATCTTTTCAATTAAAGGAAAGAAAAATAGTGCTCCAAGCGGAAAGAATTTGCTTTGCACTGCAAGATTGTTAAATGAATTTTATCGATAAAGTATTTTCAATGATATTAGTTATTTTTTTTCTCAATCTGTTAATTTACAGCATACCGAACGTTAATTTGTTTTGTTACATTTTTGATCAGGGTTGTGAAATATCTTTCTTCTGCTGACCACACCTTCTGGTGAATTTACCCTCTTAATTAGAAAATATTCACCGTAGAAACGTCTTATTATACAAATGAATCCTTAAATTGTTCTCTATCTGCAGTCTGCACTATCAGTTCAAATACGTTACCTAACCGGTCTCTCCCATACAATATATATTCTAATGAATTAAGTCTTTGTCACAAACTGAAATTCCTTCATATTTCCAAACTTATGGTGTAAGTTTTTGAAATTTAAAGTTAAGATTTTTTATCTTTCTGAATTCATAGTTTAAATATCTAAGGTCCTTTGACATTGGTTTGCAAAGATCTAGAATATGTTGGATCTTATATCTTGGTATATTTGAAATGAATTAGAAAAGTTTATGTAAATCTTTGTATTATTCGTATTATCTTTCAGAACATTTATTAAGAATTACATTTAGTGGTTTGTGTAAATTATTTTAAAGGGACTGTCTAGGCAATAGAGTTGCATTTTTGATTCACATTTACATAAAAAATTAAAATAAACATAAAAAGGAATTGTAGAAATCCTTGTTTTTTTTACCCTAAAACTTGAAACTTCCTTCTTTATCACTGCTCCCTGCCGAAAGTTGTTTTTAAAACAAAATCATAAAGAAAAATTATCAGTTTTTAGATAAAAAACAATAATATTTTTGTAATTTTGGTTGGAACGACATTTTTTAGGGTACCGCGAATCCAACATGCAAATATTGAATGTAGTTACTTCAAACACACCCTAAACTAAGATTTAGGTGTATTTTGCGGTGATTTGCAGTACTCAGACCAAACAAATAATGGGTTTCGGGCCGGGGCGAGTCACCAGGAGTAATGTTGAATTAATGCCGCATTATAAAAAGACGACATTTCTTTTACCTGACTGATATATAAGGGTCAGCTTGTCCTTGCGTATTTGCTGCATGGATTTGAACCTGGGCCTCGTGAACCTGAAACTAAACAACAGAATTTAAATAACAGAATTTAAAATACAAACTAAATTAAATATAACTAATTCCTAACCTTTACATCCTTTAAAACATTTGGAAACTGCTGCCAAATCCGAAAAAGTGTAAATAAATTTTATAGATAATAAATGGATCATGTGGCGTTATGTCTTCGAAATGAATTATTTTATATGTAATTAAATTATATATGTAATTACCGTGGTAAGCGATAATCTTTTTTCGAATTACAAGTTTATAAGTAATCGAAGAGAAGCGTTTTAATTGATAAATTCTCTTGACTTTTATGTTTTTTTGTGTGTATCTATACTGTTTAACAGCTTAATTAAAACAAAATTAAATTCGAAAGTCGTCTTCATTGTATTGATTTAATTGCCTACCACTGTATAAGAACATCTATTGTTAATAATTCGAATATAGAGTCAAATTTAAAAAAATAGAAATAAATAAGTTTGTTAAACAAGCTAGCACCACTTTAGCTCTTTAAATAAAATAAGTGTTTTTTTTCTGAAACTAATTTAATAAAGTACTTGGTTTATTTCAGTTTTCATATTTATCTCATCAAATTATACCAAACAATATTCAACGAGCTTAATCAGTCAAATTCTTTAAAAGCAATAATTCCAAGATTTTTTCATGAAATATTCTCTTTGTTTAAAAATCAGTTTACAAATATTTCTTTGTAACTAATTGCGTTTAAAAATATTTGGTCTTTTAAAATATTTGGTTCCTTACAGGAGGAAATGCAAATATGGAGAAAAGCGGAAGAGATGTTAAATTTATGCATGAAGAATTCAGTTTCGTGGTTTCCTGGTTTCCTAGTTTTCTAGTTTTCTGGTTTCCTAGTTTACTGGTTTCCTAGTTTCCTAGTTTCCTGGTTTCCTAGTTTCCTAGTTTTCTGATTTCCTAGTTTCCTAGGTTTCCTAGTTTCCTAGGTTTCCTAGTTTCCTACTTTCCTAGTTTCCTGATTTCCTAGTTTACTAGGCTTCCTGGTTTCCTAGTTTCCTGATTTCCTAGTTTCCTAGTTTCCTGGTTTCCTAGTTTCCTGATTTCCTAGTTTCCTAGTTTCCTAGTTTCCTAGTCTCCTGATTTCCTAGTTTCCTAGTTTCCTGGTTTCCTAGTTTCCTGATTTTCTAGTTTCCCAGTTTCCTAGTTTCCTGATTTCCTAGTTTCTTAGGTTTCCTGGTTTCCTAGTTTCCTGATTTCCTAGTTTCCTAGTTTCCTTATTTCCTAGTTTCCTAGTTTTCTGGTTTCCTAGTTTCTTAGTTTCCTAGTTTCCTGATTACCTAGTTTCCTAGGTTTCCTGGTTTACAAGTTTCCTAGTTTCATATTTTCATGATTTCTTAGTTTCCTAGTTTAATAGCTTCATAATTTCATAGTTTCAGCTAGTACCCTAGTGTCAGAGTTTCCTAGTTTCCTAGTTTTCTATTTACCTAGTTTCCTAATTTCCTAGTTTTCTAGTTTCCTAGTTTCCTAGTTTCCTAGTTTTCTATTTACCTAGTTTCCTAGTTTCCTAGTTATCTAGTTTCCTAGTTTCCTGGTTTCCTAGTTTCCTGGTTTCCTACTTTCCTAGTTTCCTAGTTTTCTGATTTCCTAGTTTCCTAGGTTTCCTGTGGCCGAATTTAAAGAATTTGAGCGGCGGTTTAAATTTAAGCCGAGGTTTAAAAATGGTTGGTTTCACTTAAAATTGTATTAAAAGTTTCTTAGTTTAATAGTTTCATAATTTCATAGTTTTAGCTAGTTTCCTAGTGTCAGAGTTTCCTAGTTTCCTAGTTTTCTATTTAACTAGTTTCTTAGTTTCCTAGTTTTCTAGTTTCTTAGTTTCCTAGTTTCCTAGTTTTTTTATTTACCTAGTTTCCTAGTTTCCTAGTTTCTTAGTTTCCTAGTTTCCTAGTTTTCTAGTTTCCTAGTTTCCTAGTTTCCTAGTTTCCTAGTTTCGCAGGTAGAAAAATTTAAGCCCCCCCCCTCTAAGAACACATTGACATTTTACGCCATTATATCAAATATAGAATGTTTTGCTGTTTCTATATTTTCCAATTACTAGAAAATGTGGGTTCAGCAGATTGGTTGTGTGTGTAACAGATTGGATATCTTCTTAGATTTAAAAATATAATATTTTCTCCTGAGTTGAGTTGAGGGGATAAAGTTAGAGATGGACAGTGTTTTTTTTTATGCTTCACGCATTTAAAGGGTCTGTAAACCTAATTTAAAGTGACCCTGCATACTGTATATACCGGTTAATTTCAAGGAACAGGCCGATTTTCAAGGAAGCTATTGAGCAAGCTGTACAGTACATAAACAGACTATTCAAGGAAGCTAAAGCAAGCTATACAGTACATATACAGACTATTCAAGGAAGCTAGATCAAGCTGCACAGTACATATACAGACTATTTAAGGAAGCTAGATCAACCTGTACATTACATATACAGCCTATTCAAAGAAGCTAGATCAAGCTGTACAGTACATATACAGCCTATTCAAGGAAGCTAGATCAAGATGTACAGTACATATGCAGACTATTCAAGAAAGCTAGATCCAGCTGTACAGTACACATACAGACTATTCAAGGAAGCTAGATCAAGCTGTACAGTACATATGCAGACTATTCAAGGAAGCTAGATCAAGGTGTACAGTACATATACAGACTATTCAAGACAGAACGGGACAACAAGCTAAGGAAATTATAGTGTCATTTCCGACTCTAGACGGTTTTCTTTAAACCTTTGTCTGATCATAAACTATTTATAATATTTAAACTTCATATTTAACCCTATCCCTGCTGGGGTACTTGAAAACCAGGATATGCTGTGGCTGTGGGGGTGGGGGTAAATCCCATGTTTAATGTTCAAATAATACAAATGATACATCATTGGAAAGCTCTTATGCTCTAATTTTATTATCTGCAAAAAAATTAGCAAATTTGCAAAAATTGTATTTTTTTTGAAAAATCCAGTTATAGTAAAAATGTTTGCATAAAAAATGCCAAAAATGATAAAATATACATTTGTGTAAAGCCCTTGACCATGCCACTTTTAAAAATAATGTTGCAAAATTTTAAAATAACATGATATGTAATTAAGAAAAACAAAAATGTGCAAATTTCTTTTGACGGGTTGTATGCAAATCGTTTTTGAAAAACTTGTGCAATCTATTTCCTTAGGTAATAGGCTTTCCAAAAAGCTAAAAATTATGAAAATCTGACAACTGAAAATGGGTCAAAGCAAAGATTTAGTATGTTACAGGAAAAAGTAGTCATTCAGGCAGTGTGCCTGGGGGCTCAGGCAGTTATTATAAAAGTCCGTTTTTAGGCCTAAAGGAAGGGCAATGGGAAAATAAGTTAAGTCAGAAAATTTCAACAAAAAATACAGGGGGAGGGGGGTCAAATTGACGTCCCCCCCCAGCAGAAATAAGGTTAAAGTAAAAAAAGTATGGAGGGTACCATTGTGAATGAGGCATACCACTCTAGAAATAGAGGGGCACTTGGAATTACGTGTCTTATTAGAGGATCCACAAAAAGTTTTTTAAACATTTTAGAATTTTTAAAATCTTTATAAAAGGTATGAATGATAAATGAAAAGAATTAGTCTTTCTTAGTTCATATTTTCAGTCACAGACATGGGTACATATTAGACATATATAATTCAAATTAAAAGGATTGAAAAAAAAGGTTTAAATGTTTTTAAAAAGTGGGAAAGAACCATCTTTAGTTATATCTCCAGTTAGCAAGAAGAGATGTCAAACCTTTCAAATCCAGTAACTACCATTACAGGGTGTACATTATATAAAACTATAGAACAGGCTGGTACAAACTATCAAACTATTATGTACAGTTTGAACATGTTACAATTATTATCAAAAAGGAGATAGTTTATTTGATGTACTGTCCCATTCTAGTCTTCTTTAGGCTGTAGTGTACACAGTACATCTTGTCACGTACAAATTGGTGTACATTTGAATATTAGAGCTGGGCCAACCATTGCCGTCCTGCTTTGCACTGTACCACCAATTTACAATTACTAAAGTGGCAGATTTGAGGACTATATAAATAAATATCTGGACTATATAAATAAATATCTGGACTATATTAATAAATAGCCATGAACTATATTCATAAATAGACATGAACTATATTAATAAATAGCTGGAATAAATTAATAACTATATGAACTATATTAATAAATATCTGGACTATATTAATAAATATCTGGACTATATTAATAAATAGCCATGGACTATATCAAGTAACGTCGTTTTTTTTCGCGAATTTTTCGGTTACAATATATAGGTTTCAAAAATATAAAAATCATTTATTTCAATTTACAACAAAAATTTACGTTATTGGATTTAAAAACGACAGGAAGAAAAGCAAAATATAAAAGTATAGGTTTAGGTTATAAAGTCAAATATGATTCCCCTGTTTAGTTCTGTTTCAGATTAAAGTGGAAGTAAAATATAATTGAAATGATTCACCAGAGCCCACTTCACATTAATTATATATAGTACTTACATTCACCTCGATAGATAGATAGATAGATAGATAGATAGATAGATAGATAGATAGATATTCAGATACAATTCTTCTGAATCTAACACTCTCCAGCTCCAGTTGAAGATAAACCTCTTTTTGCAAAATTGTCTGTGTATTAAACCATCTTTAGGGCATTCTATTTCAGTCTCAATCAAAGATGAACAGATATATAGATAGATAGAGAGATAAATAAAACCCCCCCAGCATTTCTCAAAATCTTAATTATATACTCCTAATTCATTACTATACAGTAATAAAAATAGCTAACTCGTCATCTGTCGTTGTAATTTTAGATAACCCTCCATTTAAAGGTATGCATGATTCACAATAGAACCCTTAAAAGCTGAATCTGATCAATGGAAGATAATGTGTTTTATTTTGATAATTTCTCCCTTGTCTCTGAAGAAACTAAAAGCATGAATATCTAATTCATAGTTGATCAGACAAGGCTTTTTTTAGAGTACCGTCGAGGAAAGGTTACTTCGCAGTACATTCCAGTTCATTTTATGTACCGAGCCTAATTTCAACTAGCCTGGGCAAGCAGTACAGTACAATTACAGACTATATGAGGCAAACCGGGGACTGTACGCCAAATGAATGATCCCCTTCTAGCAAATAAGTTCACCTAGTCCTTTATTATTTATAAAATGTTTACCTTTAAGCTTGAAAACTTTGATTTGACCCAGTCTAGATGTCTCTGACTGCGGGACATATTTAGGTTAGATTTAGCACGCAGCTTCCGGCCCTGCCCAATCCTTTGGAAACTTCCTGATAAAAGAGAATCCTTGTGAAATGTGCAGGGTGAGTAAAAAAAATAATTATCGATGTTTTGGTTAAAATTTTTATGGTATAAATAAAATAAAATGTGATAACAAAAACTCTAAAATACTTTTGGAACATTGATATAGAAATTTGCGAAATTTTTTTAGAAAATTGTTGGAAAATGTTTATTCTATTGTTTTCCATAATTTTATAAAAATTCATCAAAAATTGATTGAGATATAATAAAAAATGCAAGCTAATTATTTGCATTTTAAGACTCAACAGTTCTTATGTTATAATTTAAAACATTTACTGCAGATTTCCACTCTATTTTTTTTACGAATTTTTGGTGAATTTTATGAATTTTTAATGAAATTTTGGAAAACAATAGAATAAACATTTTCCCAATTAAAAAATTAAAGGGAGTGACCGGCTAGACATGGTAGTTGAACTGAGAGTGCAGTTTTGTAGAGCCATTTTTAGAATTCATTTGGCCTGTTTAGGAACAGGTCGAACCAAAACAAACGTACTCTTTTTATTGAAAATCAGCAATCATAATAAGATGCTAATTTTTTTCGGTCTCCATCAATTTTCTGAAACAAACGTTTGAAGCTGATAAGGCAAAATTAGAAGAAATCTGCCAGTATATTTTTAGAGTAGATAATGATGATAAGTTGAAAAAATCGATTTTTCAATGGCTTTCATCGATAATTTTATTTAAGTAATATGATCCTATACAATACATGTCATTAGTTTACTGCATAATTTCTATCATCTTTTTCCTCGTCGTTATCAAATAATTTTTAAAATTAATTTTCAAAATTAAGCGTCTAAAATGGACAATGGGGAAATATTTCAAAGTTTTATCATTTTCCATTGCACAACACCAAACCACTATTTTTGTACAATTTTCAATTTTTCCCATTTTATATAATAAACTATTGACTGGCGTATAATTTTTTCAAAAGTCACTTGTGAAAAACAGATTTCATCTAGAAAAAAAATGTTTGCGCTTAAGACGGATACATTTAATCTATAAGTTCACAAATTTAAACAAAATTACTGGTAAGGATTTGTGAGCTTGTAGTTTTTACTATGTATTCGATGACTAACGTGAGATTATTAGATAGTGTAAATTTTACTTCGATTTGTTGACGTCAGTTTTGCTAAAGAAAGATACAAGGAAATTTAGAAGTTAAAAAATGTATACAAATTGCTAATCAGGCTTTGTGACCGTGTAGTAAAGGTTAAAAATAAAACCCATTGGTTTATAATTTCCATTTTTAAGAATGTCAGAATACCTCTATGAACTTCTGGTGGCTTCAATTCCCTTGCATTCAAAATCTCTATCCTAAACAAAATAATTTTTTATCTCTAAACACTTCAAACTAGAGAAGGTAAAACCTTCGCGAAACCACTGGGACGACTTTGTGACTAGGGGTAATAAATTATTAAAGTTTCAAAAATCAAACCTCTAAAACCTCTAATTTTTTAATTTTTTCAAATATCAATTAGACCTTTAAGTCTATGCAAATCAAAAATGTGATCGAATCCACTGTATTATGAAACTATTTTGAAAAACTGTCTAAAAGTTTTTTTCAAAATATTTTAAAAAGCAAGATGTTTTTTTCTCTAAATATTAAACTTTTTTATTTATTTGATTTTTCCCTGAAGGGGGCTGAAATTGTGATTTTAAGTGACTCAATATCAAATATTTAGTTTTAAACAATAGTTTCACCTGACTTGGATCCTTATTGCATTGCGTAATATTAAGGGACCCTCCATGCAGAGATGCCAATGCCCGATTCACAACGGTACCCTATGAGACCTTGATCTGATCAACAATTTGAAAATAAACACAGTTCTTTTGGATTGAAAGTGTATATAATTCTGAAAATTCATGTATGTTTTTCTGCAGTTCAAACCCGAATTACTTTTGTAGAATCAGTTGTCAAAGTTATAAACATTAGTATCTAAATCATACTCTATCAGACAAGGCCACCATTGTGAATCTGGCATTGGCATCTCTGCATGGAGGGTCCTTTAATGAGGATCGAAGTCAGGTGAAACTATTGTTTAAAACTAAATATTTGATATTGAGGCAGCAGCACAAGGATATTTGAATCAAGTTTCTAATAAAATAGACAGATATTAGCCAATATATAGAGGTGCAGCATTAATATTTTAGATGGAAAACTTCAGATCCAAAACCCAACCAAACTGGCAGGAAAAGAAAGCAGGGACATTTTCATTATATTGTAAATTCATTACAATAACAAATATGAAATGCATATATAAATATATATATATATATTTGGATGCAATAAACGCCAAAACGCCTGAACCGATCGGGTCAATCTTTTTTTTGAGACCCCACACATCCCCTGTTTTGGGTAAAATCTAAAGATTTTATTTAAAACAATGTTTGGAAACTTGTTAGATCAGAAGGTTCTGTAGAAATTATAAACTGTAATTGTTTACCAATGAACGGAGGTAAGAGAAATAAAAGTATAAATGAAAAAAACACGCAAAACTTCTTGTAGTAGAACAAGGACTTATACAGTTTTGGAGAGTTTAAAGATATAAATGGGGAAAAACACGCAAATCGTTTTGTAGAAAAAGGACTTAAACAGTTTTGGAGAGTTTAAAGATATGAATGGGAAAAACACTCAAAACGTCTTGTAGAAAAAGCACTTAAACAGTTTTGGACAGTTTAAAGATATAAATGGGAAAAAACACGCAAATCGTTTTGTAGAAGAAGGACTTAAACAGTTTTGGACAGTTTAAAAATACAAATGGGGAAAAAACACGCAAAACGTCTTGTAGAAAAAGGACTTAAACAATTTTGTTACGGTTTAAAATAATCTATATAATAAAACAAGACATTCGTATATATATTTGTTGCATACAGCCGGCAGAACGATGACCGATGGACCGATTGGGATGACATTTTTTTGTGGACACTCATGGGTGGTCGAGGGGTGTAATAGGCTAAAAACAAAATTTAAATAAAAAAAAATTATTTTTTTTCACTGACAACGCCGGGTCCTTCAGCTAGTAAAAAATATGTGATTGTAAGCATACTTTTGAGTAATCCATGTATTTACATGATTACAAAAAGCATATCATGAATTTTTGGAAAGCATTTAAACACAAAAATTATAATGTGTTTATACAAATTATTTTAGCAAATTTGCAGGCTTTTTGCACAAATTCTAGATATTTCCAACACATCAGATATCATAAACTTTTGAAAAGCATGAAACTAAACTATTTAAAAAGTGCAAGAATATCTACCATGCATTAGTAACTTCTTTATGTTGCCAACTGGTTTTTTTCAATTTTGTAAAGAGTTTAAAAATTTGTACAAGCAATATGCTTACTTTCCTAAATAGTTATTGTAGAGTTTATATCTATACAAATACAGATGTCAACATTTATTCAAAACTTTGATTTTTTGCAAAACTGCGCATAAAATGTTGCAAAACTGATTGAAACTAGTTTGGTTGTAGTACTCTTTGGAAACTAATTTGTTTATTTTTAAGCTCTTCTCATCAACTTTCTGAAGACCTATATTACTTACCTTTGAATAGAGTTAATTGATTTATTTTGGATTCTCTAGAAAAAAGTTTCTAGCAGATTTTTCCAGTAAAAAGTATTAAAAAGAATGTAAAAACTTATCTTATGATGTCTCATTTTTAAAAATTTTTCCCCGAATTCATCAGAATTAATTACCCTCCCCCCCCCCGTGGTGTAATGCCGAAAAATATCCACTCCTGAAAGATATAAAACAATGAAGTACTGTGTCAGGTATTTAACTCTAAAAATTGAACTAATGAATTAATGTTAAACCTGATATGCTCTTTGAATAACTGTACTCTAACTGCTACACTGCCCAGAGTAAACTCATCAGCTTGGAGACTCCTAAATAAACTTTTTATTAATAAAAAAGTTCTATAGAAAGTTTATTTTTAAAGAAGCGTTTCGGACACGCACCTCTGACCCTTCAGTAAAAGTAAATTCAACCTAAAGTCTGACCGCGTCAACCTTGTTGTACCGGCTATAAAGTCCTATTGAGTGTTTGCTTTATTTAACCAATGTCCGGACAATACAGTTCAAACTGGGATCGGAAAGGTTGACCCGGCTCGTAAATTCAAATGTTCTACGGCTGCCCGTGTGGAGACTATTGTTCACGAAAAAATTCGTTCGTTCTCAAAACAATGCCCATCTCTAGGAACTTTAACTTGCAGGGCAAAAACTACCAGAATACCCCTTCAGTGTAAAGTTTTATGTAAGTTTCCTTTTTCGAAATTAGTTTTTGTATAATACATTTTATTAACTTCTATTCAATTCAAAATGAATTCCAATGGGAAGCCAAGAAAGTAAAGAAAAGTTTCAAAGAAAATGAAATCCAAGTTTTCTTAAATGTGTTCCTTAAAATAGAATTCTATTTCCTTTATTCCACTGTGGTATTTATATATGTATATATATATATATATATATATATGTACATATATGTGTAAACAGGATTGTATAAATAACATATTAAATTGAATATGTCTAAAGTTTATATAACACGGTTCAAATGGAATAAACAGCAATACAAAACTGTTAAACTTAGTATAATGCAATTCATTCAAAACGTATAAAGCCTCCCCCTCCAAAAGAAAAAGAAAAAATAATTTAAACGAGTTTACCATTTTGCAACCTAATGGTGTAGCCCTTAAATATTTCAAACTTTGGCTATTATGTTATAAAGTAGACTTTATAGTTTGAAATATAAATGGCTTTTGATGCTACAATGTTTTAACTATTGAACAATTAAAATATGAGGTATTTGTTCAGTGAAAATTGGGTTTGAAGGTGAAGTCTTTCTGTTTATTATGGAATATCATCTTCCTTTTCCAGGCATAGATACATGTCACATTTTCAAATTTGTCAAGTACAAACATATTTATTTTTTAAATGTTGGCACCCTTATAATAATAAAAAATCAACTGCTCTAAGGGTCAATATTGGGGAGGGGTATATGAGCCCCCCCCCCTCCCTGAGATCTTAAGAAATTCTAAAATAAATAATATAATTTAAAAAAAAAAATATAACATTTTTAGCAAACGGTATGCGAGATAAACAAAAATATGTTTTCTAAAAAAAAAGTTACAAAAATGTTTTTAAATGAAATAATAAATTTAAGCATCCATTTAATAAATTTCAAAATTTCAATTTAAATCCCAACGTCCTGAAGCTCAGAGGTGTTAAATTCTAATTAGATTTAAATCTAATATCAAAGTTTGAATATCATAGATTAATAGCCACACAGATTGAACACTAGATGTCGTCTTTTAAAGATTTAAGGGTTTTTTGTTCATAATAACCCTGAGGAAGAGGTGCATCCTCACTCTCTGTCTTGTAATTCAACGCTGCCTGTGCATAACTCTTTTGGGCTTCTGACTCAGGATTATTGTGAACGAAAAACCCTGAAATCTTTTAAAGACGAAATCTAGAGTTCTATCTGTATTGTTATCAATCTATGGTTTGTGTAATAAAAAAAGCTTAACACCTTCTTTTTATAAAGTCAAGGTTTATTGCAAAGTCACATGTACGGTAAAAAAACCATAAAAAAGTTTTTTAAAATATTTATGTATTTGATGCTTTTATAATACAAATAGGTTTGCTGTAGCTTGAAATTTAATTTAGCAAGTAGAATATTGTCTGTAATTGTAAATTGTACAATGGGTGTGTTAAAAACCAGGTGTATACAGAAATAAATCTAAGGGGGGAAAAATTAGCGCGAAGCGCAAAATTTTTTATGGCCCCCTAGGAGCTCCTTATCATAATTAGTTTAATGGGTTTCGCCCGCCATAAAAGGATTAAAATCCAATTTTTTTAATGAATAATTTGTTATCTAAAGAAATACGTCGCTTCAAAATATTAGAAATTAATTTGCTATTTAAGAATGTACTTTTAGAAAATTTATATTTTTATGCATAAAAGGGTAAAACAGATAGAGGGTGATTTGGAAGAAATATTTGTCTAAATTTTGCAAGATCCAGAGTAAATAGCGTGTTCATGGTTATGCATATTTTAGCTGTAATAAAAGGGAGTGCTCAAGATATTTTACCTTTGCTGTTGAATTCTGTTCCAATAGTATTTCCCAATCAGATCTGTTGTATCAGACGCGTATAGTTGAAGCAGGTTTCTCATCTTTTCCAGGGTTTCATCTTGGGGGACCTTAATATGATACAGGTTGTCATCTTGGGGGACCTCAATATGTTACAGGGTTTCATCTTGGGGGACCTTAATACGTTACAGGTTTTTATCTTGGGGGACCTTAATATGATACAGGGTTTCATCTTGGGGGACCTTAATATGATACAGGGTTTCATCTTGGGGGACCTTAATATGATACAGGGTTTCGGACCTTAATATGAAATATCACAAGCTCTGTCTCTGGTGGCTGTATTGATCAAAACGGTTACATAATGTAGATATATATACAAATATTGTATTATTCTGTAATATAAAAGGCAATATATATGTAGATTGATAAATAAAACACACAGAATGCATTATAACTAAACTTTGGTTGGATCCAACAGAATATATATTTATTCAAAGATTGTAATTCTTGGAAACTAAAATCGATATTTAGTTTTTTAAACAAAATCATTTCCTTTTCCTCAACAGATTAAATGTAAAAATTGGTTTAAAGGATCTTTTATCATTCCTATGTCTTTGCAACATGGTGTTTTCGACCAGTAATATTTCAAACTTTGACAATTCTTGCTCTGGCAAAAATAATTTGAATTATCTAAGGTTTATGGCATCTGGTGGCAAAGATATATGAATTTGAGGCAAGTTATTAGTTCCTATCCAATAAATAAGAGAAGAAAAGAAATGTGTCTATTTTTTTTTAAATATTTGTATGAAGTCCATCTTGAATCAAAATGAAATAATTGTTTACAAAATATTTTTATAATACATTTTAGAAAAGTTCTAATGTAATATTTGCATATTTTACAAGTTTATTCTTAATTACTCCGATTTGATTAATGAGAGTTGAAAATACTAAAAATAATATTCTTACAACAAGGCTGCAGCCAAAGAGAATATATATTAGAGGGGAATTTAAGGAATCTCTCGGTATGAATTTTTTCAGTCCCATTCAGCCTGAAAGGGAGTTCAAAGTGTACAAACCATGTAAATGTTCACAAATTATATGCAGTAGAGTACATTAATACAGTATGTTCCCAAGACTATTCATTTCAATTTAGAATTTTTTAAAGCTGTTAAATAAACTCTATAATGAATTAGGTGAATAAAAAAACATCATTTGATTTATAGTTATAACGGAAAATTATCGTTCGTAAAGTGAAAGGCATAGAGTCCATTGGTCAATTATGAAACCAGCCTATTTCATAATTTGGTTTTCTTTTAACATTAATTTTAGATTTTCTATAAAATGATATTCCAGGACCCAAAAGGTTATATAGCATAAATATGTGAAGTATGGAAACAGTACAACAAAATGGCCGTTTTACACTTTTGTCTAGTAAATCGACTCTAATATATATTCTATTCTCTTTGGCTGCAGCCATTCAGACTAACAGTAGGCATAACAAGCCTTCAAAGGACTTTTAATCTAAAAAATGTTAACAATTATTTATTAGAAGTCAAGGAAAAGTGAAGTAGGAGAATATGAGAGAGATTTTTTTACGGAGCAAGTGAACCCAGAGAACACAAAACAAGATACACGGAAGAGATTAGACAGAGGAAAACAAAATTAATTCTTAAAAGGAAAAATTCCTTATTTTTCTTTCTTTTTACTTGTTATGACTGACTGAGAAAAGGACAAAAGAATATAACTCAATTATGTTTGAAAATCCAGGTTTCTACAAGTCATTAGCAAATCAACAATACAAGCGATTAACAGAAATCATTATCATTTAACCAAACCTAATAGTTAAGCCTATGGAAAAACCCGAAGCAAGATCAAAATAAGCAAAATAAGTGTTCACTATGGTTTATAGGGTTACCCATGGTCAAGTTTTTAAGCCAACGGCGCAACACAAAACGTTAGTTTACATGACTTTTAACCGATCTTGAGAAAAACAAGATAAATGAAAGACCTTAATAATAGATTGAAATAAATTTATTGATATATCGTTTTATTTGTATGCTTGATCTTGTGCTCACACCCCTTAACCAAAATAAATTATTAAAGTTAAAAAACTTACTAGATGTCACAGAAAAGAAATAATTACATTCGAATTTTGAAAAACCATTTGGACATAGAATATTCGTAATTTCCAGGGTATTTACTTTACGTCAGCTGTGTTGAGTTCGCACTGCACTTCCTTTTCCGGTAATTAACCACTATTTTAGAGATAAACACAAACAGTTCTCTTGTCTCGGTATCCATTAAAAGGTTTAAATCTTGCCATCTTTTTATGGAATTGGAGGGTCACTTGAAATTAAGTTCCCTTCAGTCCCTTCAAGACAAGTTGAAACTAAATTTCAAGTTAAGTCTAGCTTTTAAAGTTATGGTTATGTGATTTAGACTTAATTGAGACTTTTTTAAGGACAGATAAGACATTGATTTAAAAAAGAATCTTTCCAGTTTCCGGCAAAATACGATACAAATAATAATTGTTAAAATCTATAAAATTTTAGATTCAAATTAGGATTTTAAGTAGTCTAAAATTCAATTGAACATAAAACACAGAAATTGTATAGTGCACAGTGCAAAGGCACACAGACCCAATTCACTCTCAAGCTACTGGCAAAAACTATTCGAATCGAATGCACATAATATTGCTTAAAATGTCGTCTTCTTATTCCACAATTGTATATGTCCCACTGTAGCGGGTGAATATTTAGGAACGCTGACAGTTGTAAAATTATTTCAAGTATTGTACTTGTACAGGGTGTCTCACGAAACATGACATTTGGTGAATAGTTTGAAATGTTTTCTTCTATAATTTGTTGTTTGTAACAAAAGAAAATAATAAAAAATATTAATGACAGTCATATTATAATACAATTGATTTCAAAGTAAAATATATTTGTGTAAAAGATTTGTTTAAGAAAATAAACTGCAAAAAGTATAAAATATTTAATACAATATATGGAAAAAGACATTCAAGACTACTTACCAACAGTCATGTTTCGTGGGATACCCTGTCCTGCTGAGTTTTCACGTGTTAATATAACCTCTCAGGGAATATTAAACATGCAATCTTAAAAACATAAAAAAGAAATAGATCTTTTCAGAAACTATAAATATTAAATAAGTTTTAGTTCCAGTGACCGCAGAGCCGGAACCCATGGATTTCCAATATATATCAAATAAGGGATAAATGTTTACAATAAAATTCTCTGGTTCTCAAAGAAAGTTTTCTCCATTAAAGGGAGTGACCGGCTATGTAAGGTAGTTGAACTGAGCATGCAGTGTTGTGAAAAACATTTTTTGGATTCATTTGAGACATATTAAACTTTAAGATCTGTCCGAAAGAAGTTTTCCATAACCCTGCATACTCAGTTTAACTACCTTACATAGCCGGTCACTCCCTTTAACAAGGCCTAAACCTGAAATCAACGGCGGAAACTTATATTTGAAGCAATTTAATGCTTAATCCGTAAGAAACAGCTAATCCGTATGTTGTTTAGCTCTTATTGGAAGAGAGCAGATATTGTTATTTTGCTTTTGTTAATCAGATATTTACGGATATTCAAAAGTCTTTACCTTAATCCGTGGGATAAGAAAATAACAGATTATCTAGTGCTCTCTCAACTCCTTTAAACGATATTTGAAGTGACCCTCCAGTCACAGATGGCATTGAAAATACCCGATTTATCACTATGGTTTTAGTGAAAGTATATTTAATTCCATTTACTGATAGCACAGAATGAAGGATTGTAAATGGATAATGAGATAGATAAAAAGATAGATGTTACCGCCATACTATTTCTATTGGTTCAGAACAGACAACAAACACATGACTGAAACCTAATTGGATCAGGCGCTAATGGATATGGATATATACAATTATAACGGCAACCTTTTAACCTTTCACTGATCGACTATCGAGGCAAGAGAACGATGTATGTGTATCTCTTAAATATCATTGAATTGGCGTAAAAAGCGTGTGTGAAATATCTAAATAATGTTTGTTTTAATTTGCTAAAAATTTATAAAATTGGTTGCATTACTGTTTATATTTTTAATTGGAATTGTTTAAAAGTTTATTTAATTTGCTAAAAAATATAACTTTAATGTTTAAAAGTTGATTAGATCCTATATTGAGTTTGCGTACCTCGCTCTTATTCTGGGTTATATTTAGAGGATAACTGAATATTAACCTTTGATCCTATAATTTCAAAATTCAAAGCATATTTCTGCTTCATGCATTGATATTATTTAATATAAAATTTTTTATGATTTTAACTTTCAAGGAACCCTCAATTACCTAAGAATCACGGGTTTGGCTTTTTTATTTAGTTTGTTCATCGTTTATTGACATTTTGTTCTTTTTTATCAATCGTTCTAAATCAGGATTTTGTTTATTCTCAACCTTATCGTTATTCTTTTTCTATTTTGTTCGTTTTCTCACTGAACGTTGTTCAATATAAAAGTTTGTTCAGCAAAAAAAACAATTTTTTTTCTCAAAAACTCATTTGTCTCGAAAAAAACTATCGTTTTTTTAAAGTTTGTTTGAACGCACGATTTGTTTATGAAAGACAAAGAAGGTTAGCATTATTTTAAATCGTTCGTTTTCAAATACCGATAGTTTTTTCATTTCATAGTTCGTCCATCATTTGTTCATGAAAAATATCGTTCGTTGACGAAAACGATGCCCATCTTTATAAATTATATGTCAGATTGACAACGATACCATTTATTTCTTATAAGATAATTATGTACCTTGAAAACATGCTTCTTTACTTATTTTGGATCATTCAAAGCTTTTATGGGTTCCATTGTAAATCAGACAGAAATATTTTTGAATAAAAGTTTAACAGTTTCTATACAAATCATTGAAAATTGTACCTTGTCATCGTAGAAGAATTTGAGAAGAACTTTGAGAACATCACAGAGAGTTTTAAAATAGCTCGGGGGCTTCTTCATCTGAAATATTAAACCATAAATTCAGGGTGTTCAATACCCCTTACCTCCCCTTCTTGTGTAGATCTAGACTTTTTTGGTGTATCGTTATAGAGACCGTTCAATTATTTGGGTAGTTTTAGGGTAAACTAAATAGCCTATTAGCTGTTCATTTGTAATAGTCTTGCTTTTCAAAGGCAACTGTCACGTGACCTGAGAAAAAGCACACACTCTTCTGCCGCTTTAGTAATTGTAAATTGGCAGTACAGCCCAAAGTAGAACCGCAAAGGTTGGCTCAGCTCGGATATTCAAATGTACACTGCTGGGGCGTGAGCGCAAAGGTATGATACCTCTGCATTTACATCATTTGATGCTTTTTGTCCATGGTCATGGATTTTTAAAAATTTTCAAATATTTAATTAAATTGTAGTATCTAATAGTTAATTGCAGATATCTTTATTTTTTTTCAAATTGTTTTAAAATTGTCTATTTTCAAAATATAACTTATTTTAGACATTTGAAGGTTTGATACATTTTCCCTACTTCCTCAGATATCCCCGTGATTTATTGCATAGTTGGAATCTAGGAACCGGTTTCTCTGAGAGAGAAAGTCGTCTTTGTAAAAACATGTTAACTTGTTAAATCATGTTTAAACACGAAAAACGTTTAATTATTGCTATTGATTTTACTGAAAAAATGTTTAAATGGTGTCTATGCAAATTCAGCTGGAATTCTAAACGATAAATCGGCTATTTCTCTAGCCATGATATCTTTGAAAAGTAAGACTAAAACTAATGAATAGCTAACAGGCTAATTAGTTTATCACGAAATTACTAAAATAACTGAACGTTGCAGGTTCTAAAAATCAAATATCAAATGATCAAATTGATATTCGAATTTGTTCGTTATTACATTATTTTTACTTGTGCCAAGGTAAGGAGTTAAAATAAAAAAGTTTTATGTTTTTATTTCTTTGCAAGGAAGAAATATTTTTTTTTAGATTTTCTCTTGAGTGGTATTACATTTAAAAAACTTATTTAACAACACTTTTTTTATTTTTTTTTAATGTTAAAAAAACCTAGAGCATTATCTTGTTTTAAATACGAGACTATGAATTGACATTCGATCTAAACACAAGTCCAAAGTATAAATTTTAAAATGTTTTAAAACGATGGTACGATTTGTGGTGTACAACTCCCTGGCTTTTTATCGAAAACTCACATTTTCTTTTTCCTATATCTTTGCAATCTGATGGTGTAGGCCTATGATGCTTTATACTTGGATTATTTGATTTAACTTAATTCATAGTTTGAAATATATTAGGTCTACAACATTGGGTTGGAATTATACATAGTTTTTAACAAAAAATGGGTTAAACAAAGGAACTAGATATTTTTTTTAAAGTGAATATTTGCAAATTATCTTTTTTCCATCTTTTCCATCGTTTCCCTTATGTCCATTTGACAGCCAAATTTTTGTTCTTAAATCTTTTTTGTTTGTTTATTTTCTTGTGGTTTTCAACAATTAAAAATTTTTTTTTTTATCGATTTTAATGGTTATTATTGTTAGAACTGACGAGGGTCAACCTAGACCGAAATACATATTTAATAAATTTGGAACTGATTTTACTCTACAGAGGTTTGGTCCATCATTATCACCGAATTTTAGAACTAGATATTCACGACTCTTTTCAAAAGTTTCCAAGTTATGTTTGCACTTTGAAGAAATAAAATTAAGGAGATGTTAAAGATTCAAAATCAACGAAAATGAATTAAATGTTTCGATTTCGATTTTTAATGTGACTGCACATCATTTAAACTACTTAGTTTTATAAAATTCGATTTTTTTAGTTTCTGGATTAAAGTATTTTTTTAAATATCAAATCACTTTTGAAATGACAGGTTTCTGAATTTTAACATAAATATTTAAATTTTGCAGATTTCTTCGCAGATTCTATAAAAATAATCCTCCGAGCTTTCAAAAATATAATAAACTTATATAATCCCTGGTTACTGGTTGGAATACTGAATAAACTTATATAATCCCTGGTTACTGGTTGGAATACTGAATAAACTTATATAATCAAATTTGAGAGTTTGCGGTTTATCAAGTTTTAGTAACATATATTATCCTGCAAACTAGACAGAAGGTAAAATTTATGCAATATCCCTGGTACAACTTTGTGACCTCGTAGCTCCTCTAGTTTTGATTTTATGCACACATATGAGAAAACCTAATTTATTTAATTATATATAAGAAATTCAAAACATATTTGTTCTTATCCAAAATTCTTCAATTTTATGAGTTATTTTAAACATATTAGAATTCAATTTCATGTCAAATTTATTTTAGCTTGGCGTCATTATACATTTTAACATCGTTGATCCCAAATTAGCCCTTGGAAAGGAATTACACAATCGCCCCAAACTCTGTTGTGTAAAGCCTGAAGATGAAAACATTTACATTTAAAGCTATACAGTGTACATTGATCATTCAATCTATCAGTTTAAAAAATTCAAATATATAGAGATACGTAAATTAGAGTTTGGTGGGATTCTTGATCCTAATCTTGATTCTTGATCCTAATCTTGATTCTTGATTCTAATCTTGATTCTTGATTCTAATCTTGATTCTTGATTCTAATCTTAATTCTTGATTCTAATCTTGATTCTTTATTCTAATCTTGATTCTTGATTCTGATCTTAATTCTTGATTCTAATCTTGATTTTTTATTCTAATCTTGATTCTTGATTCTAATCTTAATTCTTGATTTTAATCTTGATTCTTGATTCTAATCTTGATTCTTGATTCTAATCTTGATTCTTGATTCTATTCCAGAGTCTTGATTCTAATCTTGATTCTTGATTCTTGATTCTATTCTAGAGTCTTCATTCTAATCTTGATTCTAGATTCAAATCTTGATCCTTGATTTCTTAATTCTCCTATAATAATTGTCAAGTAGTTTTGTTTGTTTGTTTTCCTTATAATAAAAGCATTCTTTCTAAATACCAATTAGTTTTAATAACACTACATATTTGATGGATCAGAAAAATATTAATGAAAGAAAACTTTATTAGACATATCAAAAATAGATTGATATAAACAACTTTGTTGTGTGCACTCATCTTGAGTGAGTTTCTCCTACAGAAAAGTACAAATAAAAACCTCCAAATTATTAAGATTTATATGTCCTAGCCGCAACTCCTGATTCAGGTCCCTTTCTCACCCAAAGAAGTTTCCCATGAGAAGTTTCTCTTGAGAAGTTTCCTTTGAGAAGTTTCCCTTGAGAAGTATCCCTTTGTATGGTTCCTGTTGTATGTTTCCCTTGAGAAGTATCCCTTTGTATGGTTCCTGTTGTATGTTTCCCTTGAGAAGTATCCCTTTGTATTTCCTGTTGTATGTTTCCCTAGATAGGTTTCCCTTTTCCTTTCAGAAGTTTCCCTTCGCTTTGTATGTTTCTTTTGAAAAGTTTCCCTTGAGACAAGCCTTGAGAAGTTTCCCATATATGTACTATGTGTATTGTGTACTGCATTAAAATATTCCGGTTTTTGTTTACAAACAATGTGATTACTCCTACGTTCAGGTTACCATGAACCTGTGAGATTAGACTATGATTCCTACATCCAGTTTTTGGGTTACCCACAATTGTATGTTTCCCATGAGAAAATGTTGAGAAAATATAATTAACACAAGATGAGAAAAGTTGTTTAACTCTATTATACATGTTGGTCTACACTTCTAAGCCTTCTCTATTAAAGAAGATTAGTTCTTTAACTAGAAAAGTTGAAGATTGCCATTGTAGGGTTTAAAACCTGCATCAGAAGAAGCCCATAACACTCTGATAATAAGGGAAAAAGTATATAAAACAATTACATTAAAGAAGCGGACCCCTTCCTTTAAGCTCTTATTGTTTAATCCATAAATTTTTGCTTCTGCAGTTTTGTGAACCTTTGTTAATTGAAACTTTAATTTTTAATGAAATATGAAGGTTTATACTTATATGGAGTATGTTTCAAATATAATGGAAATAGAAAAAAATAGACATTCCAACTTTTTCTAACCGTTTAGTTAACGGCAAGTTCGAAAACAATTTTTATGCAGCGGTTAGTTCTAAAGGTAAATATGGAAAGTTCGTTTTGTCCGCCTTCAACGGTTGTATGCAATTTTAGCAGAGAAAACGAGCCAAAGTTGACGTTTTTTAACACATCCGTTTCATTTTCGTTTTCAGCCAAAAAAATGTGCATGTCAAAATCGGCTAATTAGAGTTACTGACAATTTAAAAATTAACGGGGTTTGCCGTTCGTTGACGGACTCTTTCGTTAATTTTCGAAAACCTACGTTTTGTTAACGGAACTTTGCCCAGCCCTACCTAAACCCCTCCAGCGTATAAGTTATTTTCCACTTTATTAAAAAATAGTTTTTGCTTTAAACTATTGTTATGTCGTTTCGTATTTGGTTTTAAAAAGAAGTTTGAGTTTTTTTTCTATAATTTGGTTAGTTTTTAAAAATCTAACCAAAAACTATCGCTTTAAAAAATGATGCCCATCACTACCTCTAGAACTACCTCTAGTTACTACCTCTAGTACTACCTCTAGAACTACTTTTAGTACTACCTCCAGTACTACCTCAAGAACTACCTCTAGTACTACCTCTAGTACTACCTCTAGTACTAACTCTAGTACTACCTCTAGTAATACCTCTAATTTATTCTTTTTATTTCCTTGGCTTAAGTTAAAGTAAAATCCTTTATTGCTAATTTCATGCTGAAAAGAGTATAGAGAGGATAAAGACTGGGCGTATGCAGAAATTTTTCAAAGGGGGGCTTAGTCTGCGCAGGCTTAATCCCCCATGAAAATCAAAGTTTTCTCCATACCCCCACCTCTCCCTGCAGACGCCCCTGAATATCGACCACTTTTAGTTTTGACAAGCTCGAGAACAATTGAAGATGAACTGGCTTTTCAAGATAAACCCAGAAACAAAGAAAAAATGCTGTTTTTCTTTATTTTGGAAAAGCTATCATTCAAAATTGATAGCGGTACATAACCGGTACAAATATACCAGTCAAGAGATAGATACTTTGCATTCCCTGAGAAACGGACCAGAGGCGTATTCATGGTTTAGTTCAGTGCAGGGGGGGGGGGACGGCCTAAAAAATTTCCCATAGTGCAATAATATTTTGGGAGTTAGCTCCCATTTTGAACAATTTGAGCACCCCACCCCCTCCCCTGGGTTGCTAATACTAACCTAAAACAGGGGCTGTTTTCTGAAAATTAAGTACGTAAAATTAATTATCTGGAAGAATTTGACAATTTAATGCTTTAAAAAATAACAAATTATAAATTTACAGTTATCACTAAGGCAAAAATCTTCTCTGATAATTAAAAAAAATAAACCGTGCAAAATTTAATTTTAAACAATATCATAAAACATACATATTAATAAGATCCCAAAAATACATATTAATAAGATCCCAAAACATTAAATATATAAACATATATTAGAGTGCTCAGTCATTGCTCAGTCCATTACCAATAGTGGGAAGGGAGGGGGAGGCTAAATGACCACTCCTTAACAATCAATTCTTCCGCTTTTCCAGCCCCCCCAACCCCCCCCCCCCCAGAATACGCCTTTGAAGCAAACCGATCGTTTCTCTAACGATGTAAAAACAATCTTTTTAAAAAAGATCGTTTTTAAAATGAAACAAACGTTTAAGTTCGTCGTTACGTTACGTTGCGTTCCGTTTTAGACATCTGACAATTGTTAAGATGAATGTGTGCATATTAGTTTTTTAAGTAGAAAGTTCGGTTCAGAACGATACCCTTGAAAAGTTTGTCTGGCCAATTAGATGAATGTTATTGAGCAGGATTCCTTTAAAAAGAATAATAATAAACCTCAATCCAATGGTAGATAGTATTCTCTAGAGTTTGTGCAGAACATTCCCAGATTACAGCCAGGATTCTCTCAAAGTTTCTCTCCGTCAATTTATCCTAAAACTCACAATTTCAGGGGATGCAATTGTTGTAAAACGTGCTTATTTTCCAAACCTGACACTGAGGTCTTGTCCGGATCACGGTTTGGAACTTTTTTATTTAAATAATTATTATCTTATGCAAAGCTTTTAACTATTTTCATGCTTTGATTCAAATACTTACTTTGGTCTTTATACAATATTCCTCATGGTGTAATACTATGTCAAATGTTCGAAACCTCTCTGTTTACTTTATACAATTATTAATTCTTAACGTTTTAATCATTATCCTATTCAAATCTATATTGCAGTTGGAAATTAAAATAATGAATTCCTATTGGTTTACTATAATTTATACGTTTCAATTTTTTTCTCAACGAGGCCCCCGTTTGATGCCATGCACATTTTCGATTAAAAAGCCTCTAATCCCTGTTTTTTTCGATCTGGATCTTCTTGTATTTTAAACCTTTTTATCTACTGGAAAAATTACCTTTAGAAGAATAAGGTTTTTGTCTAAGTAGCTGAGTAAGGTATCCTTACAGTCCCGACCTAAAAACATGTTTTTATTTATTCCAAAATCTATTTTCCAAAAAATGTATTAGGAAATTATTGCCTACTTAAAGAACTTGTTACTTTTAAAAGTCACTTTACAAAAGACATAAAACATGTATTGTCTAAATCTACTTTTTACTCTTGGAAAATGTTGTAACCAGAGATTTTCAATTTTCAGAAAGCAAGAACAAAGATATCTTCATTATCTATGATTGCTTGTAAAAAGGTGAATATGTAACGTTGTGAATTATTCATGGCATCCTTCTTAATAACGGGGTACTCATCATTATAACAGGGATTATTCCAAGCTGAAGTAAGTAATGAGTTGTCACTAGGGTTCATGATCCCGCCAACAAAAAGTTTCGCGAAAAAATACGAAATTTCGCAATGAGTGTTGCTAAAGGAAAGGAAAACGATGCGGAATTTCCATAGAAAAAATTATGCGGCAATTTAATGAAAAACAAAAAATTTTGAATTCGCAAAAAAATAAAATTTTTTAAAAACAAAAAATGAAAAATTTTCCAAATTAAGTAATGTTTTGCGATATTTATGCATTTTTTCCATGCAAACTGAATGCGAAAATTTCAGCGAAAAAATTGTGAGCAAAAAATGCGAAATTTTTTGCTAAGCGATTTCCCATTTCGCTAAAAAAAAACCTAGTTATCACCTGTATATGCAACACGGCTTGCGCAGTTTGCTAGAAAATCTCCGATGACTGGAGCCATTTTTTCCCCAACATCTTCCAGAATCTAGAATTCAATTATTTTTTACAAAATCGTCGTTATTTTCATTTTTGTTTTATTTAATTAATGATTTATTTCGTAATGAGATCAATTTTCTAAAATATTGATTTTCAACATTATACAAAGTTGTTTGTAAAATAAATATTCAGTGAAATTTTAAAATTTTATAGGAATTAATATCAAATTAACTAATAAACTAAGTTCATGAGGCTTCACAAAAATCTTCGAAAATTTTTGTTTTCCACTAATTCCATTAGTTCCACTAGTTCCACTAGTTCCACTGTTCCACTAGTTTGCTTTTAGGAGTTTATGCAAAATTATAACTCTGACTGAAGATATAAGCCTAAACAAAGCAAAACAGTGGCGGATTAAGTAGGGGGAGAACTTGGGTTAGTCCCCTTCCTGGAATATTGGGGGAACGCCCCCCCCTTCCCCTGTAATATGTTGGAAACATATTTGAAAAGAGGGGGTACTGTACCTCATAACCCCTCCAATTATATTTTTAAAACACAGCGCCAATATATCAGTTTAAATTTAACTTTTAAAATTTTTTTTAAAATTCTAAAGTGAACATAAAACACATACAATTGACCATTTTTATCTTTGTCAATTTCTGAAATAAATTCTAAACCCGATGTGTTTCTGTAATAAGCTTTGTATATTGACCCTATTAATTTGTACCGTCTATTTTTATCTTTGTCAATTTCAGGGGATGTTTTGCCAGGGGGGCGGGATAAAAAAGTCTCCTTGGAAAAATCGTAAGCTTTCCAATTATCCAAAACCATTCATTCCCCTTTCCCTGCTAGGGTACTTGAAACCCCCCCCCCCTTTAAATTTTATGTTTGATGTCCAAATAGAACAAATGATACACCATTAGAAAGCTCTAATGCTCTACTTTGCAAAATTTTTTATTTATTTGCAAAATCCAGTTATAAAGTAAAAATGTTAGCAAAAAAAAAATCATTCAAAAACTGATAAAATATACATTTTTAAAAAACCCTTGAGCATGACATTTCAAATATGGAAAAATTTTGCAAAATTTTAAACAACCTGATGTGTAATTAAAAAAAAACTAAAATGTGCAAATTTCTTTTGACGGGTTTTATGCAAATAATTTGCAAAAATTTCTTTGAAAACTTGTGAAATCCGTTTCCTTATGCCATAGGTTTTCCAAAAAGCTAAAAATTATCAAAACTGAAAGTGGATCAAAGCAAATATTTAGTTTATTACAGGAAAAAGTGGTCATTCAAATTCGAAATGTAAAAATGGTATTTCTAGAGGTATTAAATCGCAAATATCGAACTTTTTTCCGTTGTCTCTTTATAAAAATAGTTTGATTTAAGCCTAAAGAAATATTTATTTCTATTCTCTTTGTATTCTGCGTATATATATAATTATATAATTATATAATTATATAATTATATAATTTGATTAACTTTGAAGAAATTTTTACGATTTTAACGTTTCTGAATTCAGTGATATTTTTATTCCTATTTTGAACTATTTTGACGAAAGTATTTTCTGGTTTACAATTGTGATTTGGTTTACAAAAAAAATCGAAATGTGTTTGAAAATTATAAAATAAATGATCTAGCCTATTTTTAAACAAATATCCCAAAGAAAACTTTGAAACATGATGCATGGTGGATTTAAGTATTTTTAATATAAAAAGAATAAAAATTGGAAAAAAATAAAATAATTTAAAGATTTAGAAAGCATGTTGACCTCAAGAATCTTGTTTTCAACATTTTCCACTGCATTCTGAACAAGGGTGGTCAGAGTTCTCCTAAACAAAAATGCTGAGATATTTTTTTGAAATGTCAAAGAATAATTATAAAGTTTGTTGTACTCTAAGGAGTAAAGTTAGTAAAAGTTGAAGAATAATTATAAAGATAAGAAAAAAATATTAAACTTTTCTCATCCTATCATACGATATTAGAAATATGATATTTATGACTGAAATTAAAATTTTAACGCAATATCTGCGTGTTATTGAGGATGTGAGGTCGATTTCTAATGAAAGGCATAAAGTAACTTCCAGTATATATATTTCTTATAACTTATTACTAGAGGGTTTAGAACATGAGTCTATATCAAGATCACACGTGTTAGACTGAAAGTACAATGCCCCGTATCCGTTCTATCTCATTCCGGTGAATCTTGTGGAACTTGTTTTAGGCGGCCAGGTATCGTCTTTCACAGTGTAACCGTACTTTCAAGGTGTCTTCCATTTGTGGAGTGACACGTTCGATTTACAACAGCACTCTTTAAACTTCTATCTAATCAGATAACATAAACCTCTATCTAATCAGATAACATCACTCTTTAAACCTCTATCTAATCAGATAACAGCACTCTTTAAACCTCTATCTAATCAGATAACATCACTCTTTAAACCTCTATCTAATCAGATAACAGCACTCTTTAAACCTCTATCTAATCAGATAACAGCACTCTTTAAACTTCTATCTAATCAGATAACATCACTCTTTAAACCTCTATCTAATCAGATAACAGCACTCTTTAAACCTCTATCTAATCAGATAACAGCACTCTTTAAACCTCAATCTAATCAGATAACAGCAATCTTTGAACCTCTATCTAATCAGATAATAGCATTCTTTAAACCTGTATCTAATCAGATAATAGCATTCCACTATGAACGTTGTATGATCCGCTGCCACATAATACACCTACAACTCGCTGCCTCATGATTTACCTACACTTACTGCAACATAATTTACCTACAACTTGCTCCCACATAATTTATTTCAACTCGCTGCCTCATAATTTACCTACACTTACTGCAACATAATTTACCTATAACTTGCTGCCACATAATTTACTTAGAACTCGCTGCCTCATAATTTACCTACAACTCTCTGCCTCATAATTTACCTACACTTACTGCCACATAATTTATCTACAATTTGCTGCCACATAATTTGCCTACAACTCGCTGCCTCATAATTTACCTAAAACTCGCTACCTCGTATTTTACCTACATTTACTGCCACATAATTTACCTACAACTTGCTAATGCTACCACATAATTTACCTTCAACTTGTTGCCACATAATTTTATCTACAACTCGCTGCCTCATAATTTACCTACAACTCACTGCCTCATAATTTAATTTCACTTACTGCCACATAATTTGCCTACAACTTGCTGCCACATAATTTACCTACACTTACTGCAACATAATTTACCTATAACTTGCTGCCACATAATTTACCTACACTTACTGCAACATAATTTACCTATAACTTGCTGCCACATAATTTAAACTTGCTGCCACATAATTTACCTACACTTACTGCAACATAATTTACCTATAACTTGCTGCCACATAATTTACCTACAACTCGCTGCCTCATAATTCACCTACACTTACTGCCACATAATTTACCTACACTTACTGCCAGATAATTTACCTACAAGTACAACTCGCTGCCACATAATACACCTACAACTCGCTGCCTCATTATTTACCTACACTTACTGCCACATAATTTACCTACAACTTGCTGCCACATAATTTACCTACAACTCGCTGCCTCATAATTTACCTACAATTACTGCCACATAATTTATCTACACTTACTGCCAGATAATTTACCTACAACTCGCTGCCACATAATACACCTACAACTCGCTGCCTCATAATTTACCTACACTTAGTGCCATATAATTGACCTACAACTAGCTGCCACATAATTTACCTACAACTTGCTGCCACATAATTTACCTACAGTTGCTGCCACATAATTTACCTACAACTTGCTTCCACATAATTTAACTACAACTTGCTGCCACATAATTTACCTTCAACTTGCTGCCACATAATTTACCTACAACTTGCAGCCACATAATTTACCTACAACTTGCTGCCTCATAATTTACCTATAGCTTGCTGCCACATAATTTACCTACAACTTGCTGCTATATAATTTACCTACATCGTGCTGCCACATTATTTGCCTACAACTTGCTCCCACATAATTTGCCTACAACTTGCTACTACATAATTTACCTACAGCGTGCTGCCACATTATTTACCTACAACTTTCTGCCACATAATTTACCTACAACTTGCTGCCACAGAACTTACCTACACTTGCGGCCACATAACTTACCTACACTTTCTGCCACATAATTTACCTACAACTTTCTGCCACATAACTTACCTACACTTGCGGCCACATAACTTACCTACACTTGCGGCCACATAATTTACCTACAACTTGCTGCCACATAACTTACCTACACTTGCGGCCACATAATTTACCTATAACTTGCTGCCACATAATTTACCTACCTACACTTGCGGCCACATAACTTACCTACACTTGCGGCCACATAATTTACCTACAACTTGCTGCCACATAACTTACCTACACTTGCGGCCACTTAATTTACCTACACTTGCGGCCACATAACTTACCTACAACTTTCTGCCAAATAATTTACCTACAGCTTGCTGCCACCATATCTCCATTTAATGCCTCTAGTCCAGAGAGTGTTGTATCATAACCAAGATCCTAAAAATTGGAGTACACAGTGAAAACCAAAAAACTTTGGAATAGGAAGACGACTTTCAGATCAATAAGTAATGGTTCTAAATAGACCGATTAACATGAGATCCATCAATTGTGCAGTGTAGACAGACCCACTTCGCTTAATACGGGATGCAGTAAGTTGCTTTGAAAGTTATTTATTTTTTTAACAACATCTAATACACTTCATCATTTCGTTATTGTCGTCTTCCTATTCCACTGTTTTCTGGTTCTCACTGTATAAAAACTGTTCTGTAATTTGTTAATGTTTTTTTTTAAATTTTAGAAATGATTTAATTTACATTTACAAACGGTTGTATATATTGAAGAACGTAGTCAATATTGTTGATTGCTAAACAGAGCTCCTGGTAACAGATAAATTAATTTTTATAGATAGGACACAGATAATTTACTAAGCATAGATAGGACACAAAATCAAGATAATTTACTAAACATAGATAGGACACACATCCAAGATAATTTACTAAACATAGATAGGACACACATCCAAGATAATTTTCTAAACATAAATAAGACACACATACAAGATAATTTACTAAACATAGATAGGACACACATCCAAGATAATTTTCTAAACATAAATAAGACACACATACAAGATAATTTACTAAACAAAGACAGGACACACATCCAAGATAATTTACAAAACATAGATAGGACACAGATCCAAGATAATTTACTAAACATAGATAGGACACAGATCCAAGATAATTTACTAAAGAAAGACATAGGACATGTATGACAGATAAATAAATAAACATAGATAGGACACTCACAGATAAAGAACATAAATACTAAACATACAATACCAATAAAATAAATTATTGTGGAAGACGATGCCTAGCCGCGTTAAACAAATCCACCAAGATTCAACAGAATGAGAGAGAACGGATACGGGACATAGTACTGATAAACATCTACATGTGTAATATCGATATTTACTCAAGTTCTGAACCCTCTAGTAATAAGTTATAAGAAATATATATACTGGAAGTATTTTATGCGTTTTTATTAGAGTTTGACTCACGTCCTCTATATGATAAACATAGGAAATGTATTCAATAGTTGGCTTATGAGGATAAACATTAGGAGTACAAGAAGAGAGAGCAAGCACCTGCTCTAGCCCTTTCATTTGGATTTTTATCAATAGATTCAACAAATATTTTTCCTGCTGCACTATTCACACAAAATCAAGATTTGTCATACAAATTCAAATATACATAACACATTTTTAACCGTAATCACCCCCAGCATGCTATGGTTTTGACATAAATTTGAAAATTCCGGGGGGGGGGGATTTTTTTTGCCAGAGGGATAAACAATTTCGCAATTATCCCTCCCCCCCCCCTCTGCTCCTGGAAAATATCGTAAGGCACTCCTATTCAGAACTTTAAAATCTGTTACAATCTATTTTTATCTGTGTTCCTGATTTATTGTAAACTCTGCGTTGTTGTTGTGTCCCCGACTAACTCGTTCCACCATTTTGTCGGAGTAGAATATTGTCGTCTTACACACATCCTAAAAATATGGCAGACGCTGAGCTCCAACCTTCGAGTGTGCGAGGTGGGGAAGACTTCACTGCAGATTTTACTTTTGTACATGACCATTTTTTCAACAATTTTCAATTAAATTAGTATTTATTTAGGGTTAGGTGAGGTTAAGACACTTTCTGAGCCGAGCACTGCGGCTAGGACAGGCAAGGGGGCCGAGCGCTGCGGCCATGGGTTAGGTTAAGTTATGACACTTTCTTTGTTTAGGGTAAGGTTAGGTTATGACACTTTCTGGGCCAAGCACTGCGGCTATGACTGGTTAGGGGGCAGAGCGCTGCGACCACGGGTTAGGTTAAGTTATGAAACTTTCTGAGCTGAGCGTTGCGGCTAGGATTCAATCTCGATCTACAAATGTCATCCCCCTTAATCATGCTTTTAATTAAGCGCGGCAGTGAAGTCTTCCACACCTCGCACACTCACAGGTTGCTTTAACTGTTGCTTTGCAAGCCCCCCAGAAATGTTGCGGGTTTCTCTGTTTGCTGTGATGTATTTCCAAAAAAATTTTTAAATCAACCTTTTTTCTAAAGAACATTTCCTTAAGTTCCAAATTGAATACAAACTAACAAACAGCTAAATATTTTAAAAGATAAGCTTGAAGGGTTGGTCAGCCATTGAAACTATACAAAATACCCTCGTTTTAGACAAAAAAAATAATTAAGGCAATCATGTATCTCATAGTGTCCCAAATACCCAGATTATACATGTTTTGTAGATTTATAAATATCTTCAAAATATTCAAAATTTAACTACAATTTAATAAGAGTAAAACTGTTGTCTTACATCAAGGATTTTTGAGATGAAAGCATAGGAAGCCTCAACCTCAGGCCAATTCAGCTGAGCCCAGAAAGTTTTTATCTAAAAAGTAATAAAACCAATAATTCTAGATAAAAATTTGAAAATAAATTTTCGTATTTAAAAAATAAATAAATAAAAAAAAATTTCGATAAAAAAAATAACCTGCATTAGAACTGTTCTAATATCAACAGCAGAACTGCTGTGCTTAACAAGATCATCTACAGGACTCAGATCATCAAGCTCAACTGCCTGAATATATTTACAAGATCATCTACAGGACTCAGATCATCAAGCTCAACTGCCTGAACATATTTACAAGATCATCTACAGGACTCAGATCATCAAGCTCAACTGTCTGAACATATTTACAAGATCATCTACTGGACTAAAATCATCAAGCTCAACTGTCTGAACATATTTACAAGATCATCTACTGGACTCAGATCATCAAGCTCAACTGCCTGAATATATATACAAGATCATCTATAGGACTCAGATCATCAAGCTCAACTGCCTGAACATATTTACAAGATCATCTATAGGACTCAGATCATCAAGCTCAACTGCCTGAATATATTTACAAGATCATCTACTGGACTCAGATCATCAAGCTCAACTGCCTGAACATATTTACAAGATCATCTACTGGACTCAGATCATCAAGCTCAACTGCCTGAACGTATTTACAAGATCATCTACAGGACTCAGATCATCAAGCTCAACTGCCTGAACATATTTACAACTGGACTCAGATCATCAAGCTCAACTGCCTGAACGTATTTACAAGATCATCTACAGGACTCAGATCATCAAGCTCAACTGCCTGAACATATTTACAAGATTATCTACTGGACTAAAATCATCAAGCTCAACTGCCTGGATATATTTACAGATCATCTACTGGACTCAGATCATCAAGTTCAACTGTCTAAACATATTTACAAGATCATCTACAGGACTCAGATCATTAAGCTCAACTGTCTAAACATATTTACAAGATTTACAGGACTCAGATCATCAAGTTAACTGTCTTAGCATATTTACAATATCTTCTACAGGACTCAGATCATCAAGCTCAACTGTATAAGCATATTTACAAGATCATCTACAGGACTCAGATCATCAAGTTCAACTGTCTAAACATATTTACAAGATCATCTACAGGACTCAGATCATCAAGCTCAACTGTCTAAACATATTTACAAGATTTACAGGACTCAGATCATCAAGTTAACTGTCTTAGCATATTTACAATATCTTCTACAGGACTCAGATCATCAAGCTCAACTGTATAAGCATATTTACAAGATCATCTACAGGACTCAGATCATCAAGTTCAACTGTCTAAACATATTTACAAGATCATCTACAGGACTCAGATCATCAAGCTCAACTGTCTAAACATATATTTACAAGATCATCTACTGGACTCAGATAATCAAGCTTAACTGCCTGGATACATATACAAGATCATCTACTGGACTCTGATCATCAAGCTCAACTGCCTGGATATATATACAAGATCATCTACTGTATGTGTATTTGATGATGTTATAAGCAAACAGTTTTAGGACTGGCTTGAAAATAATTTTCATCGTTATCGCTATTACTTATTATATATTAATTACCTTTACTATTCTTTGCATAGCCTTGTAGAGAGCAATATCAAGCCATCTAGGTACAGCCTGAAGTAGAGTGTAGAGTGTAGAGTGTATAGTGTAGAGTGTAGAGTGTAGAGTGTAGAGTGTAGAGTGTAGAGTGTAGTGTGTAAAGTGTAGAGTGTACAGTGTAGAGTGTAGAGTGTAGAGCGTAGAGTGTAGGGTGTAGAGTGTAGAGTGTAGAGTGTAGAGTGTAGAGTGTAGAGTGTAGAGTGTAGAGTGTAGAGTGTAGAGTGTAGAGTGTAGAGTGTAGAGTGTAGAGTGTAGAGTGTAGAGTGTAGAGTGTAGAGTGTAGAGTGTAGAGTGTAGAGTGTAGAGTGTAGAGTGTAGAGTGTAGAGTGTAGAGTGTAGAGTGTAGAGTGTAGAGTGTAGAGTGTAGAGTGTAGAGTGTAGAGTGTAGAGTGTAGAGTGTAGAGTGTAGAGTGTAGAGTGTAGAGTGTAGAGTGTAGAGTGTAGAGTGTAGAGTGTAGAGTGTAGAGTGTAGAGTGTAGAGTGTTGAGTGTATAAACCTTATTGAACCATATATGTGAAGCTGTTATTTCGCAATGATCCATTCCATCTCCCAAGACCCGTGAACCTTCCCTTAAAATATTAATAAATTAGAAAATCTAAACATAAAAATGAAAAAAAATGTGATGCAAAATTGATAAGAGTCTGTTATCTAAAGCAGATGACTAGAGCTAAACACATTTGAATATTCTTTTTATTTAAATTTAAGCTTTTTTATTTTCAGGTTCAAGTTCAAATTAACATGAGAATTATTGAAATCGACATAAATCAATTTTATCAACAAAAAAGTTTGTGTCAGCAACACCATAAAAAGTAATACTCCACTTTGCATGGTTAGTTTTAGATTTTAATAACCATATAATAATTTTGTTCACCCTTTTTTCTTTTATATATTTTTGCCAAGCTGCAGCAATTATTTCCTGAAATCTCAAAATGACTTTCTCTTTCTATTTCTTTACGACAGTTATGGGAACAATCTTATAAATTAACTTTTTTCTATTTTTATAAATTTTTATATATATAGTATAGGTAAGCCCACCCCCCTCCCGTCCCAAAAAATGTATATTTATAAAGAGATGAAAAAGTTTGGAAACAATCTTTTAGCTAATTTTGTATTAACATCATTTAAACAGATCTCTGTCATTTTTACAAGAGTCGTTTTTTAAAATCGTATTTTTCGCAAGCATAACTTTACAAAGTTTTTAATTCTTCTGTTCTGTAGCTAGCAAATAACATTTTCAATAAACGAAAATCTTAAAAACTAAATTCATCCCCATCATCACATTATTTAAGGTTTGGTATATATGCCTAGCATGAAACATAATGTCGATACAATAAAACTTCAAATCATGTTTTGAATACTTAATTTCTTATATATATATATATGTATGTATGTATGAAGAAATTTCTCAGCATAAACTTTTAGAAAATCCTTGAAAACTTAGATTAAAAGTTGAATGGAATTTTGGTATAAATGGATTAAAGAAAACTTATATGAAGGAATTATATAAGAAAACTTTAGAAAATTTTTAAAACAATTATGAACAATGGGTGGGGGGTGGGGAGGAGGGGTTTGAGCATTAGAAAGCCATTTGATCGTTTTTTAAACACCTTAGATTTTGGTTTTTAAAGGGCTCGTCAGTCATTGTTTATAAAAGTTGAATAGTGAGAACCAGAAAACTGTGAAACAGGAAGACGACATTAAAGTAATAACTAGGTGTATTTGATATTGTTCTAAGTCAAATAGTTTTACTAGTAATTTCTAAAAACACTTATTAAGTGAACTAGGCCTGTTTTCACTCTACAATTGCTTAATCATTAAATTATTCAACGCCATAACATGAATCCAAAAGTCGTCTTTTATTCCAAATTTTTCTGGTTCTCACTGTAAGTTTGCTTTTTTCTAAAAAATGTTGCCGCTAACATCAGGAAAACACATTTAAAATTTTGAAAATCAGCCTCTGAAACTCTGGACAGCTCTGGAATTCATCAAATTTTGAGAAAGCATTGGCCTGAGGTTTTATTTCACCAACTTTCTTATATATTGTTGTTAACATAAATTCGAAAATATAAGGAAGACGATTTTACCGGCCCAAAATGCCTCTGTTAATTCTCTAAATGCGTGTGTACACAGGAACCACGAATGAAGCAAGCACGCCCCACATGTCAAATCCCCGCTCAGCCTAGCTCCCACTTCAAGTGGTTCCTGTGTACACACGCATTTAGAGAATTAACAGAGGCATATTGGGTCGGTAAAATCGTCTTCCTTATATTTTCGAATTTATGTTAACAATTGTAGACCTAGACACATACAATTCAAAATTGAAACAGGAATGTTTCTAACTTGAGTTAAAAAGGAGAATTATTAGCAAAACACTGCTTGATTTATGCTTGAGAATGTGCACATCTTGGTTTTAGTGACTATTTAATACTACTTACTTGATGATAGTTTGTAGAGAAAGATAGAGTTCAAAAAGTGC